CCGCGAAGACGACTTGTGCGAGGGGGTTGCGAGAGATATCTCTATCTCTTTGAAGCGTAGAGACAATTCTCTCAAAAGGCACATCTTGGTTGGCGAGCGAAGCCACTACTGTGCTATAGACCTGCTGTACGAGTTCTTTGAACGTTTCGTCCTCAACCTTGATTCGAATGCACTGCATGTTCACAAAGAATCCTATCATGTCTCTAAGTTCCCACTGATCTCGGTTGGCATTGGGAGTGCCAATTGTTGCATCTGCTTGGCCAGTAAAACGATAGTGCGTAGCACGGAAAGCAGCAAGTAGTACGACAAACGGAGTCACTTCATGTGCTCTGCAGAACCGCCGCAAGTTGCTGTAAACTTGACCGTCAATTCTGATCTTGTGTACGCCCGCCTTGCCAGACAGGGTCGTCGGTCGAGGCTTGTCGCACAAAAACTCTGCTGGGCGGCTTGATTGCAGCTCAGCTACCCAATATTCAAGCTGTTTCTGGTAGCCTTGAATCTGCTCTTGCATTCTTTGCCACATTGAAAAATCGCGGTACTGGACCGGTAGAGGTGATAGCCGCGAGGTCGGGTTCTCTCCACGGACAGCAGCAGCGTAGAGCACAGCCAGCTCTTTCTTCAACACATCCAATGACCAGCCGTCAGAGACAATATGATGCATTACAATGGATAACACATGTTCCTGTTCGTTCAGTCGGTAGATGCGCACTCTCCATCCTGGCTCTTTTTGCAGATAGAAAGGTGTTGTCTGGTCTTTCTGCAATGCATCTGTGAGATAGTGTTTGTCGTTTGAAGGGACTTCAATGATGGTAACGTCTTTTTCGTCACAGAACTGATGAACGAGCTGTACGCCTGTACCACGGTGAGTAGAGAAGGTCGTCCGCAGCGTTTCATGTCGCTGTTCTATTGTCTGAAGTGCAGTCTTGAGTACGCCAAGTTGAAGAGGACCATTGATGCGTAGTGCAATTGGCATAAGATACCAGCCCAGACCTGGGTGTAGCGCCTCCAGGAACCACAGCCGATTCTGAGCAAACGACTGGGCGACTGGCCCAGAATATTCGCCTCTTGTGATGGCACTGAGGCCAGTCGAGAGGTGATGCATGGTCTGATTGGCCAGATGGCCTAACCGTGGAACGTGGAAAATGTCATAGACTGTTAGGTTGAAACCGAGATGGCGTCCTTCGGCGACGAGCCTCATGGCGCTGATCGAATCACCACCTAGGCGGAAAAAGCTGTCGTCCAGGCCAATACGGCTCGCCTCGATGCCTAGCACCTGTGCCCATAGCTGTTGCATTGTCCGTTCAACCTGTGTCTCTGCAGCTCGCTTACCAAAGCCTTGGCTGCTCGTACGCATTTCTGATAGCTGCTGGATTGAGATCGAAGCCCCAATTTCCCGCAGTTGTCGCCGATCGACCTTGGTAGATGTTGTCATCGGAAGTCTTGCTATCGCAAAGTACACTTCAGGCACCATATGGCTTGGCAATCGTTGAAACAACTCTATGTCAATGTCGTCCATATAGGCCAATCGCACGACGGGGTTGCTTCCGAATGGTTCGCTGACATGATAAGTGCCACATGTCTCCTCATTCAGCTCCAGGAAAACTGCTACCATCGCCTTATCCTTGTCACCCGCTGGCGAGATTACCTCAACTGCCATCTGTTTAACCTCGGCCATACATTCATGCAGGTGATATTCAATCTCGCTAAGCTCAACGCGTTGACCCCTAACTTTAACTTGACTGTCTTTCCGGCCTACGTATATCAGATTGCCATCTGAGCTATAGTAGACTAGGTCACCCGTCTTGTACAGCCGGCCTTGTCGACCAGCACAGGTTTTACTGCCAGCCACTAGCCAGGAAGGATTATTGATGAAGGCAGCCTCTGTCTTTACTATGTCGTTGAGATAGCCACGTGCTTGGATCGGTCCCTCAACTAGCAGTTCGCCAATCGCACCAGGCGGGGCAAGCTTGTTACAGTCGTCTGGGTCAACGACCCAGCTGACTGAAGCAATAGGTTTACCAATGATTCCTGGCTTGTAACCCGAAGCACCATTGGTATACGAAGTACACCAAACTGCACACTCTGTGGGACCATATGCATTGATTTTCTCAACGCTATCCCCCCATCTTTCCCAATCAACAGCATTTACTCTTTCTCCTCCAAGAACAAGTGTTCTTATTGATGGAGTTTTTTGAGGATCTAGTAGTCGTGCAACAGTTGGGGTAAGCTGTGCCCAGTTTATATTCATGGTGTTGATTGCCTCCGATAGAGCATTGTGTCGATCGTCTTCAGAAGGGATACAGATGCAACTGCCGTGTAATAGCGGTGTGATGATCTCAGCTATACATGCATCAAACGTGTAGGTAGCGAATTGAAGGGCTCGGGTATCCAATTTGATTCCAATTGCCTTCCCATGGCTTAGACAGCTTGTAGAGACTGCGCGATGTTCCAAGACAACACCTTTTGGGATTCCAGTGCTTCCGGACGTGAACATGACATAAGCTATGTTGCTTGGATTGACTGTAGCCTCTTTCATGTTTTCGGTAGATGGTAGCTGACTGACGAAGGCTTCACCAATCGGAACAACATGGCGAGCTGAGTCCGGCCACAGCATCCCGTATTGCACCGATGTGAGGACTACTCTAGCCCCTGTCTGCTTGAAGATCTCCTCGTGTCGGTTGGCTGGATGATCAGGATCTAGTGGCACAAAAGCCCCACCAGACTTGAGCACTGCTAGCATAGCTACAACTGTCCACAGAGACTTTTCGAAGCATAGCGGCACGATCTCTTCAGCTTCGACATTTAGGCTGTGGATAAGATAGTTTGCTAACTGGCTGGATAGCTTGTCTAGTTCTCCGTAAGTCATTTCGCCATCCCATGCGCAAAGAGCTAGAGCAGTAGGCCGTGCCTTTACTTGTTCTGCAAACAGCTCATGCACACATAGATCCACTGCTACTGGCAAGATCTCTTTGTTCATTGTCCATATCTTCTCAAGATCCTGGGCGTTGATATCTGGTAGTTCTTCCTGTAGATCTCCCATGGCGCGACGGGTTCGTGTTACTTGTCAAAGCGTTATTCCTTGTGTTGATGCTGTTGGTAATAGGCAGTAGTTTGGTGAATATGAATATGAAGTCTTTCCATTATAGAATTTCTTGTCAGGTTTAGCCGACTACTTATGTAGTCGTTCTGAGGTGTATCAGCTAGGTTGCTCTACCTGGAACAGCGTTCCTCCGAGGATTGATTGGATATCAAGGATCTGCCAGTGTGTACTGCTGTTGAAGCCGCATCAGCTAGGGTCTATCAGCATGCGCCATTGGATGTTCCATGAAGCTCTGCTCTTCTTTTGGGAAAGGCCGGACATGGTGATGCGTTTGCATGGATAAGGCTGGCTACGTCCATTCGCATACAAGTCGACAAAGGCATTGTGCCCCTACTCCGACAGACTACGGTCGATGACACGTATGCAAACGTCAGGTTTCGAGATTAAAAAGTTATTCTAGGCTTTCGTCCCGTTCGTAGCGCAGTCAGAGATTGTGGTCGTGCTTTCCTGTCATTTCCGGTCATTTCCGCATCTGGGCCAATAACTAAGCGTGACGGGAAGTCAGAATATATACTGAAAGCCAATCAGATCTAATGGAATGAGTAAGGTTCGTGATGGTTCAACGCTGGGTTGCGCCCCATCACGAGAATGCCCCTCGCTAGATTTGTCTCCAACGGCTTGGCAGGCGAATAGCGACTTATCCTGGCAATCCTCCAACTCATTCTTGCCAAGATGAGTAGGTCATGGAAATTGTGTTTACAAAATCATCTCAGAGCCTGTTCAGTTGCGCGGTTGCGTTTTGCGTTTTGCGTTTTTTGTTACCAGACTTGGGCTGCGCTTTACTACCGAACACGGCATCGGTTTCAAAAAAACCTACCCCAAATCTGGTAACAAAAACGCAAAACGCAACCGCGCAACCGAACAGGCCCTCACCCTGCATCGCTAGCCCCGTGCGTAAGAAAGACTTGACATGAAGTTCGAGGACCCAGACTTCCTTGCACTTGGAGATCGACCCTGTCGAATTTTGGAGTAGTCACTGATGTCACTGCAGACGCGTCACTTCCGACAAACAGCGCTGTGCTTCCACACCGTACTTTGCTCTTTCAAACCCACTAGCATCACTCATAAAACAAGGTGTATTATATCATGGAAGCCGATGAACAGATGTTATTGGCGAGCGCCAACCTTTCAGTCCACGGGAGCCGCAAGCAGTCTCTAAATCAACGTATCATGTTGTGCGACAACAGTATACATATTTTTGAATATCACTCCGTATTTCACAACCTAACCGTGTCAATTATGACTTTACGTCAGACAGGTGTTGAAACTCGCAATCCTAGCTTATCTTGATGACTTAGGACAGGGTTATCCATGGATACATGTCAATACAATATGAATTAACTCGGAGAATGTTATATGTTCAACATGTTTAGATAATTATGACTAATCATGGGGTACTATTGCATCCTGGTTTATGTAAAGTCTAGGAAATCCTTGCTAGTGCTTACCGAAAACTTTCTTCCAACATGGAGTGACAGATAAACTTTCTGTTCATGTATAAGTCAGCATTGAATTATAGAGCGGTTTCATACGCAAGTAGATCCTGGCTAGTAAGATTACTCCCGGCCGGTCTTGATCGCATCTAAAGATTCACATATCGCTCTATATGTTTTGATGTATCACGTACTGCATACATTTGTTCATCTGTTAAGCTATTCTAGAGCCCACCGCTTTCTTCACGAAACGCCCTACGTCTGCCAACTTTAACAAAGGCTGAGAATTCTGGAGATGTCTGAATCATCATTAGACTCCAGTCTTTCTGGATTACGAAATCAATATTGGGGCTCCCCACAGCTGACTAAAGCAGCTTTTGATTTTAGAAGTAATGTATAATAACGCTGGGCCTGCTGTTTTCTTCTAATTTCTCGAAGGCGATGTCGTTACCACACCTTCATTGAGCATGCTTTGTGCTATCGCTCGCACCACTTTGAACGATGACGTTTACATGGAAGACGAAACAACAATAAACTTCGAGCAAGAAGTGGCTGATCTCTGCGACCACGAAGCCGCCGCATTTGTTGTCTCCGGTACGATGGCGAACCAGCTAGCTTTACGAACACTGCTCTGGCAACCTCCACATGCTATCCTTGCCGATGCAAGTGCGCATATAGTTCACTGGGAAGCTGGCGGAATCTCCCACTTTTCGGGAGCCATGCTGCAAACTGTGCGGCCAAGCAACAATCTTTATTTGACTCTAGAAGATATCCAAAAGAGTGCCGTCCTGTCGTATGACGTACACAAGTGCCCAACAAGAGTTGTGAGCATTGAAAATACTTCAAACGGAAGCTTGGTACCACTAGAAGAATTACGTAGGGTCAAAGATTGGGCTACAAGAGCCGGGATACAGGTTCATATCGATGGTGCAAGGCTTTGGGAAGCCATTGCAGCTGGGGGTGGTACACTCTCAGAATACGCTCAGTGTGCTGATTTGCTGACTGTCGACTTCAGCAAGGGTATTGGTGCACCAATGGGTGCGATGGTCATCGGTTCAGCAGAGTCGATCCAGCGGTTGCGCCGGATTCGCAAAAGTATAGGCGGTGGTATGCGTCAGTCTGGAGTTTTAGTTGCAGCTGCAAGACAAGCACTTCTTGAGAATTTTGGGATGAGCCAGACTGATATAAGAGGAATTTTGAAGAAAAGTCATTCGTTGGCAGGTACCATTGGGATGCTATGGACTGAAAAGGGGGGAAAGCTAGTCAGACCCGTGGAAACAAATATTGTATGGCTAAATCTGAGGGCCTCAGGTGTTACTGATAGTGAATGGAACCAAGCTGGGCATAAGCATGGGATCAAGTTGATGGGTAACCGAGTCGTTACGCATTACCAGATAAGCGATCAGGCTCTTTCCGCACTGACATCTGTCATCCTGAGCGTTCTCACAAACCAGAAACAGGGGGGTACTAGAGAAAAGGACTGTCGAACTGTAAAGTTGTGAGATCATTCTAGTCACGTTCTGGTACATAGTCATTTGTTTTGAAAAATACCTGCTCAAAAAATCTCCAGGTCTCATTGTGAAGCGGGTATGGTGTTCAGCCTTAATCCTGAAAACGTGTCAAAGTCATCCATGAACATCAAACCAAGTAGCGCTTCAGCCGTTTTGCATTGCCATACTATACCCAGCACGTCCAGTGGATTGTAGCCCTTTCCATGCGACACATCGACGTCGCGCAATGCCTCGGATCCTCTCAACACGTCAATATTACCCGTGATTACAAATAATGCCGCCTTCTACACACCTAATCATCGCCTAATTCCCATTTTGGCCTCTGCGTGCGTGAATATGTGTATGTGAGCACCCAAGAAGCAGTGAAGGCCAGATTGACTACATGAGCACCGTTGCTAGCGCTCTCAGTACGCAGAAGACTGGGCCTTTGTGTGGCGTTCAAAGCAGCCAGCCTGGTTTTACCCACTCCATTGCTTGTAAATGAATGCACCAAATTTGATGCACCATACCATACGGCTGCATGTCCGTCACTGAGCCATACATAGACCCTTGCTGGTCAGAGAGTGGCCAGGTATCGTGCGGAGGCGGCATACGAAAATGATACACGAGGACAAGGGTTCGGCGCTAAGCTAATACGTACGTACGTAGTATGACCAAATGGGGCATGCCCAACATCAGCCTTTCAGTCGATGCGCGGCCTCATTTTCTGTATCGACACAATGCGATTACCCGATAGAGCAACTGCGGAAGAAGCTCGTATTGCAGCGGGCTATTCAGACCCTCAATGGGAGTGTTTTATTGTATGTTAAGTGTACTAGAAGAAGAGCGTTATGAACTAAAGTAGGACATTACTAATGACGCCGCTCATAAGCTACGTAAGAAAGATCATAAACTTTGTTGGCGCAGGGTTCCATACAACTAAAAGTGCGAAATCACTGAAATGATCAATACGCAGCTCGTAGGCGAAGGCATTCCTGCTATTAGCATTAAACTAGTAGGATAGCGTATAAGTAGGGTGATTAGAAACCTCAAATATGCAGAGGGTAATTACGTGCCTTGTTAAGCTTGCGGCTCTATAGTAACATATTATAGCTAGGTCCACCAGATTGACCGACCATACAATAGAAACAGACAGCGCTACGTACGCCAAGGGCGCAGATAGCGTGACGCCTGCGAAGGACGCTCACGACGCGGCTGTCGAGAGTACACGTAACTTTGAACCCCACCCGAGATATCTAGAATCTTGGTTTTACAATAATATTAGTTATTGTGAAGATCTTTCTCTTCGCATAGACGATAGGACTTGTAACGAACTTAGCTAGCTCGTTTTTAATATTCTCACGGGAACTTCTTTGAATTATTTACACCATGCTGTGCGGTTTTAAGAGAGACTGAAGAGAATATAGCAAGTCGGACAAGCACTAGAAGAAGTGTTGCCCGACGAGCACGAAAGTTCTTACAAGTTCTTAAAAGGCGTGTTCCATGGCGTAAGCAAGAAAGTGTTTCTGTTATGCGCCATTACGTTATCCATCGATAAACTCAGTCAACTACCTTCCTGAATCCTCGTTGCATCGCTCGCGACCGTGACTTCTTCTACTAACCAAAACCATGTAGGAATAGCGTGAATTTCAACTTTTGAATAACGCTATATCTAGAGCGCTTACTGTAAGCTAAATATTGTAACTATGTGCCTTGGACGAGATATGTATATATACGCCGAGCACACTGTATAAATACGAAGGTGCCTATTGAAGATTAATTATAGCTCTTCGTTTAACATTTTCCCTGCTTTCTACGTACTCTCTCTCTCTCTCTTTCTCTCTCTTTCTCTCTCTTTCTCTCTCTTTCTCTCTCTTTCTCTCTCTTTCTCTCTCTTTCTCTCTCTTTCTCTCTCTTTCTCTCTCTTTCTCTCTCTTTCTCTCTCTTTCTCTCTCTTTCTCTCTCTTTCTCTCTCTTTCTCTCTCCTGTTCCCCTAAGCTGGCTCACGATTACCGGTTTGCTGCAAACCGCTATTATGTCAATAGCTGACAATGATGGTTTGCAGTTGTGAGCGCGTTGAAAATTGGATACATTAGTTTTCATGTGTATTGGATGTTTCAGCGTGTGTGGCATCGGATGGGATGCATCACAGACCTCCTCCACTCTCCGCTCTTTATGGTCCGTGTAGTATCGTCGATAGTGCGGGGGAGCGCAAGATATCAGTTACTAGCGGATCTACGAAAGGTTTGCCCGAGTGCTCACATCGCCTTGGCCTAATCGTCGCAAACTTTAAGCGATAGTAGTAACCCTTGGATTAGGTTGGCGATCGATATTGTTATGACCAGGATCTAGAGATCTATAGGTAGTCCACCGACTTCTATGGTGGGTAGGGGCCTTTGAGAAGGTACAAGGCAGAAAATGAGGCCGCTATGCTATGTAAATCGCATAAAAAAAGGCGGCTTCAGGTAGCGGGGACCTTGATGGTTGGGATGCGTAGTGATGAGAAGTAGCCGAAGCAGCCGTTACACGCTAAAGTGGCTGAGACATTCCGAAGGCGGTATAGGCGGTGCAATATGACTGAGCGTAATACACGCAGTCTACTTCAATAAAGCTTTGATAAAGTTTTGGCTTGTGCAGCGTCGTGGGAGTTATATCCACCGGGTAATACTCGGCCCCAACGGTTCCATATGGAAAATTTCAAAAAATTGGCCGTGCGTTGCACGGCCCGCCCACCCCAAGGGAAATGCCCACCCCAAGGGCAATAAAATACTTTAGTCGCAAATTTTGGTGTATTTATATAAGAATTTTAGACAGAATAATTTACTAATTCTTAAAGCTATATTTTAAGACGCTCCCTAGTCATTTTGACTACAGCTACTATATACGTCG